ATCAGAGCTAAGACGAAAACCAAATTATCGAGAAGCTCTCGGCATTGTGTCACTTTGATCGCCCTAGCTGCTGTGCCGCCGTGACGTGGCCGTCTGACCCGCCGTGACGTGGCCGTCTGATGGCGCGATGACGTGTCCCGGCGGCTGGCGCGCCGTACTGACGCCGCCGGCGGCTGATGACGGCCGGGCGGCGCCATGAGCGTCATTCCGGCGGCAGCGTCCAACTTCGGCACGGACGGCACGGGAGGCACGGACAGCACGGACAGCACGGACGGCGGTCCAGACGTGCAGCCTCTATCCCGACCTCCCTCTCCCTCCCCCTCTCTCTCTCTGCCTCTCTCCGTCACTCCCTCCATCTTCTCTCTCTCTCTCTCTCTCTCTCTCTCTCTCTCTCTCTCTCTCTCTCTCTCTCTCTCTCTCTCTCTCTCTCCCACATCTTCATAGTATCTTAAATTTTTATTTTTTTTTCTTTGCATTTGTCGGTTCTTAGTTCTTACCTCCAGTGAAATCATAGACCCTCACTTAGGCATTTCTTTTTTCAGCATATAAATCCTAAAGATTAACTTGTTTTAACTCACAAAGGTTCTGTTCAAGCAGTTCTATGTGATCGCACGACGCACGTCATAGTTCATAGTTTTGTGGCACTTAGTGACTTAGAAAGACTTGCAGACGTGGTTTCAAATGTTGCGCATGGTAGGATCCACTCAGATCATAGGCCCATGTCCTTGATTTATCGTCAGATCAATATGAGATCAATTCATAGATCTAGGCCAGGATACTTTTTTCACGCGGGGTCCGGTGGGTTTATAGACCCTAATTTACAGCTTGCTTTGAGATCCACTGAGCTCATAGATCCATCACTCATCCATGCTCATTGCGCATTGCACATATATGTCACCTCGACATAAGTTAGCTCCGAGTTATTTACATGGAAAAAAGTGCAGAAAGCAAATACAGTATGTAGTTGCATACGTGTCCAATGCTGCTTTTCTGAATCCACGAATATAGCAGATTTGAACAATGAACAAGACGGCAGCCAGACAGTCCGCAGGTGATCAGCTGGGCCGGGCGGCCGGGTCTCGGCAGTCCAGCCTGTGCCCGGCGCGGTCCACGCTGCACAATGCACACTGCACGGAGCATGGAGCATGGAGCCACCGCCGGCGGCGAGGTCGTCCGGCCGACCGGCAGGCAGCAGCCCGGCCCGTTAGCCGCCGCCCCGGCCGTGACGTCAGCACCGGGGGAGGGGGGGGGGACCTGATGGGCGATAGCGCCGTGCCGTGCCGTGATGTGACGGTTGTCCCGTGCCGTGATGTGACCGTTGTTACGTGCTGTTCTGTGACCGTTGTTCCACGCTGTTCCGTGCTGTGACCGTTGTTCCACGCTGTGCTGTGACGGCTGTTGTGCCGTGCCGTGCTGTGACCACTGTTATGCCGTGCCGTGTTGTGAGTGTGACCGTTGTTACGTGCTGTTCCGTGCTGTGACCGTTGTTCCACGCTGTGCCGTGTTGTGAGTGTGACCGTTGTTACGTGCTGTTCCGTGCTGTAACCGTTGTTCCACGATGTGCCGTGCTGTGACCACTGTTATGCCGTGCCGTGTTGTGACCGTTGTTACGTGCTGTTCCGTGCTGTGACCGTTGTTATGTCATGCCGTGGCGTGGCCACCGCTCCGTGCCGTGCTACATTGGCACCGTTATTCCAGGCACCCAAGCAACTTCATCACTTATCAATATTTATGTGTACTTCCACACCCATAATTACGCCTAGTAATCCTTTAGCTCACATCTCTTTAATGTCCTTGAATCAAGGTCGTCGGTTCCCGCCCTGGTGGTTCGCCTCCCGAGCACCCCGTCCGTGTGGTATATAAATATTCCCTTGTAGTCGCAGCCGCACTGCTTTGGCAGGCCTCCTGCGGCAGGGCGGAGATCGAACTGATTACCAGCAGAAGGTCCATTGGCCCGGCGGGGTCCGAGCTGCGCCGTCTCCCCAGCCCATACCGAGCTACTGACAAACACGGCTGCGGCCCCGGGCCGCGCCACTTCGGTGTGACGCCACCCCTGCGGCAGCGGCGGCGCTGCCAAGCTCGCAGAAAGTCCCATAGAGCTGGGAAAACCCGGCACGGCTGCGGAGAAAAGCCCACAGAGCTGGGAAAACCCAACAGGGGCCGCGCCGGCTCTGGGGAGAGGGGAGACAGAGACGCAAAGAGAGGAAACGCGCCGCACTGGTGCAACCGGGAACACACGGCGCTGGTGTAACCGCGAAACGTCGCGCTAGTGTAACCGGGAACACACGGCGCTGGTGTAACCGGGAACACACGGCGCTGGTGTAGCCGGGAACACACGGCGCTGGTGCAACCGGGAACACACGGCGCTGGTGTAAATGGGAACAACTGGTGCTGGTGTAACCGCGAAACGTCGCGCTAGTGTAACCGGGAACACACGGCGCTGGTGTAACCGGGAACACACGGCGCTGGTGTAGCCGGGAACACACGGCGCTGGTGTAACCGGGAACACACGGCGCTGGTGTAAATGGGAACACCTGGTGCTGGTGTAACCGCGAAACGTCGCGCTAGTGTAACCGGGAACACACGGCGCTGGTGTAACCGGGAACACACGGCGCTGGTGTAACCGGGAACACACGGCGCTGGTGTAAATGGGAACACCTGGTGCTGGTGTAACCGGGAACACACGGCGCTGGTGTAACCGGGAACACACGGCGCTTGTGTAACCGGGAACACACGGCGCTGGTGTAACCGGGAACACACGGCGCTTGTGTAACCGGGAACACACGGCGCTGGTGTAACCGGGAACACACGGCGCTGGTGTAACCGGGAACACACGGCGCTGGTGTAACCGGGAACACACCGCGCTGGCGTTAAGGGGAACACCTGGTGCTGGTGTAACCGGGAACACACGGCGCTGGTGTAACCGGGAACGCGCGGCGCTGGTGTAACCGGGAACGCGCGGCGCCGGCGTCCCAGCCGCGGCCGGTAGAGGTGGTCTGTGGTGGGGTTGACTGACTCCGCTTCTGTTGCAAGCCCGGTCGTTCCGAGACCGCTCCCCGGCTCACCCCGGTTCCTACCCCCGACCCCGACCCCTCCCCCCCCCCCGATCGTGGGAATGAGACAAAGAGCCGCCAGCTGGCAATCAGGGCCGCCGGATGAGCGGAGCAGCGAGGGGAACTGCAACCCTGCCGGGGGTGTGCAATGTGCATTGCTATACGCGTCATAGTTTCCTCCTCTCAGGACCCCTCTCCCTCTCCCCTTTGTCCCTTCCTCCGCTTCTCGCGTCCATCTTTCCCGTTGCCTATGTGTAAATTTCATTGAGATTTGAGACGGAGTCGTGCGATTTTGAAGCTGTTTGCCTTGGTAAGTTTCGCTATCACTCTCAACTGGTCGCTTCATTTTCTGGTTGTTTCTGATCGCAGCAGCTTCAGCTCACAAATGATGTTTTATCATTGGCGTTGCTGAATGCTTAATAGCATGAGTTATTTGAAAATAGGAAATGAGTTTCACATTTCTTAGATGCCGGTAATTTATTGAAAATCTAAGAACAAACTGAAACGTATCGCTTTGGTGAGATGGGCCATAAGGTATCTCAGTTGTCTGGAGATGTGCTCAGCCGCCCGGGGTCTGCGTCACGGGACGGGCGGCTGGGACTGACAGAGTCTATATCTCAGTTGTCTGGAGATGTGCTCAGCCGCCCGGGGTCTGCGTCACGGGACGGGCGGCTGGGACTGACGGAGTCTATCAGCTGACGGCCGGACCAGTGACGTCATCAAACTGCTGAGCGGCCGTGTCACACACCGCGCCAGATGACGTCAGCGGTCACACACACCCTGACAAATATTAACTCACGGCGTGTTAACCCGGCAGTTGCTGGGGTATTTCGCCACCCACCGTTTGCTGGGGGGGGGGGGGGGGGCGTTAAACGCCCCCAGCCGATAACTCGAGAACCAATTATTGGTTCTTGCGTCTATTAGATGTTTCGCTGCGCCTATTATAGGCGCAGCGAAACGCACGAGGCGGCAAACGAAAGAACGCGACGAGACGCTTCAGATGAGTACTTTAAAGTTGAATTTTGAGGTCACAGGTCGGGTCAAGGTCAGGTCAAACACCTGAAATCGGGCTTTCAGTAGCATGGACTTCAGGACTTCGCAATGGGCGGCTCTCGTCATAAACTCCGGTGCACAATCCATCATATAAGGCCTACAAGAGGGTCAGCTCCATATAGGGGTCAGTCAAGCATAGGTCAGGGTCAAGGTCAGGTCAACCGGGTAGGCACATATCCCCGAAAATCAAAACTGATATTCGCAGCCTGTGACACATGTTTTATGGGTAATTTGGGGCGTAGAACACGATGATGACATTCATTTTATCATATGTGTACGTGTTTGACTCAAAAAGTTAAATTTAAGAAATGCATCTATCATGGTCGTGAAGTAGTCACGAGAAATTGCCAAGATTCAGTTCAAGATTTTGGAAAATGCGGATCGATAATCAATAATCGAAGATAGCCATTTGATTGTTCATGGTATTGGCAGTCTAATGGCGTTTACGGCATGTCTGTATGTCTATTCTGTGATTTTATGATTTTTTGAACATATGCCGTTTTTGGTCGAAAACTCAGAAATCATGACGTCACTAAAACCTCGATATCTCAAAAATTTTCCAACCGATTTTTTTGAAACTTTGTCACAATACACTTCAATCAATTCCCTACAGGTACCTAAAATTCGGCGCGTATGCGGCGCGCCGTTTTTATGCTATGACCCGGCGAAAAAAGTGGGGGCGTTTAACGCCCCCCCCCCAGCAACTCGAGGGTTAAATCGATATCCACACTCAGTGCGTACTGCCGGCGTCTGTGTGATCTGAGCTAGTCGACGGTCAAAGCCGACCCATCCCGGGAGGTGCAATAGAGGCAGGGGGAGTACTGAGCAGGAAGTGTTGTCAGTGTAGTGTGTTCGTCCAGCGAGGGGTCCTCACTCCCCACATCAAACACACCATACAGTAAACACATCCGCTGTATTGCGGCCACCGATGTGATGTTCTCATAGCGGACATATGTATCTACAGAGTCGGACGCTCCAACGCACACGGATCGGTTCAGGAGCGTCATCGACGCCAGACAACCGCGGGAAAGACGGCGGCAGCCCACGGTCAGCCGTGAGCCGGCAAACACAGCGTCTTTAGGATAAATATGGATGGCAAAAACGAACATGCAACGATGTTGATGATGTACCTCGTGAAATCTGTGATTGGTTGGCGGAATATCAATTTAATTAATAAAAAGTAAATTCGTTCTAGCGCCCTACGAAAAAAGCGAGATCTGTGCGTTGAAGGAACTGGAACGCTCGAAGCCATAGTCCATCGGCGTACAACATCAGCTGTGTCTCCTACATAATACATCAACATGTCAGAGCCACGGCGACAACACATAGTTCGCTTGGACAGGCGAATGATCCACGACGATCCAACACATCTCATTGGATAAGACCGATGACGCTCTATGTGAGGGGTCCGACATCGCGCCTCCAAACAGATGAAACAGTACTGAACAGACACTAAGCCGCTCGCGCAGAGTTTCAATCCCACAACTATATGCAACTACACGTTACACAGCTTGAGCATGTGTACTCGTATGTACACAAAACATGCATTAACACATTACACATCCGATAGCAGCATCAATTCAAAGGATGCGCCTAACAAATCTCATCAAACAACTGGGCCTCCTTTCGGATACCGGCTGTCTTACACCGAGCGACAAAACATAAGGGGATGTAAAAAACGCACACACAAAATATGCCTTATGGATCATTCACGTCAACCTTGAAAAATAAAACAAAAATAAATAAAACACAGAAAGAAAGAGTAAAACAGGCTTTGATCTAAATTAAACATGATTTCAAGTAAGCTAGAACTAGAATCATCAGGAGCCCGGAGCGCACCACCGTGCGGCCATCTTGCTCTAAACTGCAGCCCCGCTGGATGAGCTGAGAATGTTTTGAAGCCGCCAGTGTCAGTGGCCACATTGTCCGCGTCACACACCGTGACCTGTGACCGTGACCTGGCGGTCGGCCGCCGGACGGCCAGCTCAGGAGGCCTTGCTCTGCTCCGAGGACTGGAACGGCTTCCAGGTGAGACATTTGGGATCGATCTCCTTGTGGTCGGGACCGCGACGGCGCCGCTTCTCCTCAAAGTCCTCAAATATGTCCTGAGAGCGAGACAGAGAACACCATTAGAGAATAACAGGTCTGGGACGGATGTGTAGGCAAATGTATGACCGATGCATGTCGAGCGAGGTTAGCGGGTACGAAACAGCGATATGAACGAAAACACAACACAGAGGGGAAGAGGAAAGAGTGCATGAGAACGAGAGAGAGAGAGAGAGAGAGAGAGAGAGAGAGAGAGAGAGAGAGAGAGAGAGAGAGAGAGAGAGAGAGAGAGAGAGACAGAGAGAGAGAGAGAGAGAGAGAGAGAGAGGAGAGAGAGAGAGAGACAGAGAAAGAAGCTACGAGTTTTACACAGAGAAAGAAGAGAAAGAGGCACAAAGAAAGAGGCACGAGAAAGAGGCACAGGGACAGCGATGCAGACAAACGCACGGACTTTTGAGTCTGACACAGAGGTCAGTGGTGCTATATAATCGCGAAAGACGTGAACCCAACATATTTGTATCTCCTTTTTTGGCGATGGAGGGGCCCGACATTGGGGACACCTTGGGGTCACGGCCGCCACGGGGAACACACTGGAGCGGGGCGTACCGACTGGCCTCGAGAAAAAAACGAGCACGGCATGCCACAATCGAGGAAACCATGCGGATCAAGCAGCCAACAATGGAGGCTCATTACACATCCAGAACTTCTTGCGGCCATTTTTTTTTTCTTCAGACAGGTGGTGGAACAACTAACGACCATGTCAGCGCGGTTCAGCCATCCAGCTCACCCGCTCGGGTCAGAAACCGGGCGACATCCGCACGACGAGGCCAGTTTCCTCCCCTGTCGTCAGTGGTAGGCTCAGCGGGTCTCGGAGCTATTCACTAACGAGCCACCTCAGTGAGCGGACCAGTTACGGCCTACGGCTGCGGTCTGAGCGGGCCCACCGAGCCGCTCGAGAGGGGCGCCGGCGTCCTCACGGCGGTCGCAGGGGAGCCGACTCCCTCTCTGTCTGTGGCTATGGTGTCTGTCCTCCGCACATCTCCGTTCTTTATGATGTATAGTTATTACTTCGGCTCACCTCGCCGACCACCTACCCAGGGCTTACCACCCCTCCACCCGCGGCTTCACCACCTGCCCTCTCTGAGAGCTCTGTATATAAAGAACGGTGAAAGAACACAAAAACTTTTTCGAACGATTGACTGCTTTAAATTTTCTGCTTTTAAGGAAGTTTCCGAAAAAAAACATCAATTTGAACATAACTAATGCATGTCTTCACGTAAGGGTTATGTGTTTTAAAAGCTGCCGGCGCCAAGTCTCAAGTCCCGTTCCCTAGGCTGCGCGTCATTATGCCCATATGCAATTATGACAAGGCAATAGTAGGCGGTGCAGCGACGACGTGACAACAGCCGGCACAAAGACGGCATATTCAAATGACACTTCACCCCAGCGAAGGAGGAACACAGGACATGACGCCATCAACCGGTGCCGTTCCACAAACTGGAAAACAGTGAATGAGCTGTCACTGCTGTCGCCAGTTATTCGCGTCCCTAGAGATGACATCATATCCTGTTTTATTGAAACAAACGCCGAGCCATTGTGCAAGAGCATTCAGTTCACAGGCGTGCATAGACGGAAAAGGAACGCAAGGCGAGCACGAACCCATGTGTCCCCTTCCCTGTGTCACAACAGCCCTGTTCAATCCTCAGTGAACTGCCACAGGCAGGCAGCCCTGCTGACCAATAGGAAAGCTGAGGCCGTGAAATTCGCGTCAACGCTAGTCGTTTTCACTTTGACCGTTAAATTTCAAACACATGCTATAGGTATTTCATATTTGTGCTTATAACTAGCACGTACCCGAGTAGGTACTGTGAATTCCCCTGGTAGGTACAGGGTGTGACCTGCTAGTGATGATTATATCACACATGCAATATGCATGCTTCAAAATCTGGTCTCAAACATTGAATTATGCCGCGCGTGAATGGCTGATGTGTGAGATTCCGCGATACTGTATGTAGTGGTATTTGACAGACACACCGGGCTATGCTGTATAACCAGTCAGCAGTTGAGGCCACCAAAATGAATAACTCGAGGCAACATTATATTGCTGCAGAAACTAGAAAGTGAACACAAGGCTAATTTTCTAGCGGAAGCCTTTGATAGGACTTTGATGTGCAACGACAATGCCAAAGCCGAATAAGACGTCGGGCATTATATCACTGCTAAGAAAAGCAGTGATAACATTTTTGAACAATCTTACCAGGAAATATGATGAAAAACCGTGCAACTGAATCTAATGCGCTACAAAATCTCAAATTATAATATAAATGCACGTCTGTACACGAGAACAGAACGAATCAATATTACCGTGCATAAATGACACGCCGCCAGGCATCAGTCATGCATCAGCGTAACCGGCACGTGGCCATAATTCACGCGGCGCATAAAATTGTACGTCCGACGGCCGTTAGGGCCAGAGTAATTGCAGGACGGCAGGCGTTTGGTAACGACACGCCAATTATTCGTACAGTTGGGCCAAAAACACGCATTAAACATGCAACTGGAGCCATCTGCGACGGGGACGGTATACCTGGAACAGGGGGCAGCCGTTACTGGGGACGTGTCTACAGCTGACGGTACCTATACATATAGGTGATCGAGTGGTTGGTTAGTCGGCGATCCCCTATCCATGCGCGGGGTCCGACCGGGCGACTGCGCTCCCGTCAACTACCGATTATCAATGACTATCAGCAATGCAGACATCAATTTTCACGTGAGTCGTAAGTAACCCGAATTAATCCCGCAGCTATAGCTGCGGTATATGCCCATTCTGCCCAAGAACAAGTGCTGCTGACTGAAAACCGCCACGTCGTCACCAGGCATGGGACTGCCTGCTGGTCGGATGTGACGCATCTGCTGCCGCTCTGGGGGCGGGTGGACCGTCTGTCTGTCCCTCTCTCCCTCCCCTCCCCTCCCCTCCCCTCCCCCGCCGTCTGGGTGACCCGGATTCGCCGCGGGCGCCGCCGCCGCCGCCGGTCGGGGAGGGGGAGGGGGGAGGGTGTCTGGCCGGCCGGCGGCGGCGGCGACCTCTCTCTGAATAGCCGGCGGCGGTGACGACACGGCGGCGGCACATTCCGGCGGCGGCCCGGGCACCGGGGACGTCAGCAGCGGCGGCGCTCACCCACCCACGCACCCACCCACCGCGACCGGGGCGCGATCGGTCCCAGATAGCACCGGCCACACAGGGAGCCGGCGGGGCACCAGGGCACACCACTTCAACTGACAACGTGAACCACATAAACTGCCAACAACCGAATGTAGACTATGAGCGATACAGATATACCTATAGGGAATGCCTTTATAGTGCACCCACCTCCGGAGCCAGGAAAATGGCAATGGAAGCCGCGGAGCATAGTTTTAAAGTTTCCAATTTCCAAAAACTTTCTGGATTTCTTCTCGGATTTCGAAACAAAACGTTCAAAACCTTTTTAAGCGGTGTTTTTTTTTTAAGGGAACTCTTTTTGGTAACAATTGCTCATATCTTCCTTAGCCGGACAAACCGACAAAATTTCGTTCATTTCGGACGCTGAGGGAAGGGCTGCAGTGACCGAGACGTCTCCACCGTCCCTGGATGCGCCATTGACATTTGACTTAGTGATGTCAATTTCAGAAATTTTGGAAACCAATACCAAACCGATACCGACCAAAACCACTGAGAGTATACCAAAACCGAACCGATTTTCAGAAACAGGGGGAAATACCGACTAGATACCGAAATCAGGGAATTATCAAACAAATGCTTCAAACTTTCTCAAGACATATGATAAGCCTTGAAAGGTACCTAATACTTTGAAATAAGGTAACAAAAACAAATTAGGCAATCTCTTAATTATTTGCATTGCAAAAAAACATTTATAACTTATTTTGTAACTATTAACAAATATTCAGGTCAGTTATTTTACTGGAATGTGGATTCAAGTCAACTGCATGAGGTGTTAGGAAAATAACTTGAACCCTGAATCTTGTCCATGCCTGAACCATCAAACCTCTTTCAATTCAAGTCATTCATTTCGAGTCCGGTCAAGACAGGGTTAAGTGAGTTATCATGATCCAAAAGTGGTGACCCAATTGACAATGATGGGCCACACCTTGGGCTGGCTACACCATTAATGTACAAAGCCCATGATACCTACAGTTAAACCCAAGTAGCATGGTGATTGGTGACGATACTGACGCAGCCAATTTTTCTTCATAAACAAATGTGTAACACAACAAAACTTGATAAATAATTACTTACGAGGCAAACTGATAGATAGCAGACACCACTGTAATGATATCGCGATGAAATCTAAGTAAAATGTCCATAATCTTACGGAAGCATTGACACACGTCACGTGTCATCTCTTCCATAATGGCTGCCTTACAGGCGGCGGCCATTTGCATTAATGATTAAACTATATAAAATAAAGTTTTTCTTTTCTTTTTTGCTTAAGTCCACTTAAATCAAAATTCCTTGTAAAAATTTTGACATCTTAAAATTAATCCAAGAAAGTTGTAGGCCACTTTTGCTGAAAAATGAAGTACCAGAAAAACATAGTTATTCAATTATTTTCAATTAGTTTTTGAGCTATATCAGTTCCTCAACCTGGCGCAGCTGCGACATTGAAATGTTTTTAAATGTGTTCAGTTTCGAAACTGCTGTGTGCAAGTCAAGCCAAAAGCCAATTATATTTTATAAGTGCTTATGATTAAATTGCTAGCGATCTGTATCTGTTGAGAGAGCAGGAAAGAGAACACTAATTGAAGAAAATAAATTATCCACAGCATAGATATACAGACTAGATAGGGCAGCTGTTTAGCGACGGCATGCAGAGGGCGCCGCCATGTTGGGGCAGCCCTCGGCGGGGCAGCTCTGTGTAAGTGAACGGGAAAATGGGAAAGTTTACGGCACATTTTTGGTATTTTTAGAGTGAATAGTGTTTGTCTCTGGAGCTCAGCTCATAGATTGAAGCTTGGAGAATGTCAAACGGAGGTTGAATTGTGCTCAACTAGTTTTGATTTA